GGATGGATAAATATAGAACTAGGTTCTTGGGGGAAGACGGACTGAAAGAAGTTAGAAAGGGGGACGATCTCACCTGGTTATCAGTCTCTACTGTTTAATCTGCAGACCTAAGGGCAGGGATCAGTTCCTGAGTCCTTTAAGTAGTCCGTATATAGCCATATAAAATTATCGTATGTTGCAACGAATTTTGTAGGATGTTTAGTTGGAACTTCCACCGCAGTTTGGAAGTTTTGCTGCTGATATTCCTATAAGTTTTCCTCGGAACCGGCTAGTCTATAAAGCCTCCACAGACGACTCCTTTTTTTCTGAAAGATGCCTTTAGGTTCGAGTTTATCCACTTTGGGTGGTTTTTGATTGTCTCTCTTCTAAGAGGACAGTTGGAATAAACAGCCTCTTTCAGTAAGGAACTGAAAGTATTCCAACTTTTGTTTGCGTCCCCATGCAGTTCAGTCTCCAATGATACCGCTGCCGCTTCCCTCCTTACGAGAGAATAGCCCCCTTTCCAACTGTTCCTCCCTCACCTATCGGGCAGAATTGGTTTGGAAAACAGTGAGTACTCGAAGTAGAGCGTGATGGGGTCGCTTGACCCTAATGACGGTCGGTCCTGAAGGGCAACCACATTCTCCTCCTCTCCGATAAAAATAAGATTAAGGCAGTTCGCCTGCCGCCCTTCCCTAGTTCGCATTCCAAAGGAAACTTTTTGCAGAGAAGTTTGTCCCTTGCCCATTGAAGTAGTTTGGGATTAAAGTTTTCTTGTGTCCCTTGCGCAGCCAACGCCAACAAATCAATGCCAGGAGCGTTAAAACCCCGAACAATAAAGACATCTTTCTTCTCACTGACTTTGTTAAGCTCAGTTATGAGCATGAGATTTTGGTCAGAAGCGTGGTTAGGTGAACGATACACCATCGAAAGCGTCAGTAATCGGACATTCTTAGTAAATATGGTAACGCTTAATAGTTCCACATCCCGTGCCAGACTATGTACACCTTAAACTAGGAGATGTCATCTGGCGAACACTAAGTTTTTGTTGGTTAGAAAACTCGAAGCTGGCCTTTGCTTCCTTTTTCGCATCAACTCTAGCTCTAATCCTCCACTCATTGACACTCTCACTCAGAGAGATCGGTCTTATGCCACGCGCAACTCCTCCATGGCGATTCCACCGCCTCTTTGCACTACATCTAAGCGTTCCCTCTTTTTTGCTTCCAACTATGCCTTCCTTTGGAATAATCTTCCACCAGAAATTAGGTCATCGCCTGAGTTACTGGTATTTAATTGGAAATTACGCAAACTTTGTACATCGGAAAGCATAAAGGCACTTTCAAGAGTTTCATTTCCAAACGTTCAGGTCCTTGACTTCGGGAAGGGTCCTCCTGGGATTTAGTGGTAGACCAAGCGGTTACCCTTAATTATATCATTACAAACCCCTGATTTGAATTGGTTGTTAAATCCCCTGCTATCACTCCTCCCCCATGGCGACGATTCTGGCGGTTATTGATGTCATCTCCCGCATTCCGACGTCATGTGGTCTGTCTACGCTCACGGCGGAGCCCTCAATATTCGGCGTCTACTAGTAGTTTGGTCGTACCTCCTTTTCCCACTCCTCTGGTGGGCTCGAATCCTACTGTGGCCAATCGCGTCTGGGTTCCTCTCGTCTGGCTTCTTGGACGCGAACAGTCTCATCCGGCGTATCAATCACGCCCCGACGATGCCAGTTCTGAATCCCGTATACAATACTACATGCCGGACAGTCCTGTCCGACCCATCTACGTACCTCTCAAGGCTGACATTTATTTCTGCCCCGTCGTTGTCTGATTTTAATCAAGGGTGACATTTATTTCTGCTCTGATGATGTCCGATTATAATTCGTTTTATACCGCCACATACAGGCCAGTCATGCCCGCATTTTTTTTATTATTGTTTATCGAGGGGTTTTCTCTCCTGTAAAATTAATCCAAACATTTTTAAATTTTTAGTGGTTTTTTTTCACCTCTCGCCTGTCATTTTTCTCAACGGACTACTAATTCAGAAACTATGAATTGCATTTTGTATAGATTCTGCCTACCTCGTCTAAAATGTACATGTAAATTTATTTTTACTTGCTTCGATGGGACCCCGACGGGTCTTTAATAAAAAATTGTTATTATCAACCATAGCGACCAGCCTGCAAGTGACATAAATTATGACTCCTCCTCCTCCTCCTCCTCCTCCTCCTTGGTTTAGTCTCTCTTTTCTAAATTACTGATATCCTGTAAGTGATATTCCGGTTTCTGCGGTATCTTCAATAAGTCACGTTTCTGTGAAAGCCATAATGTCTGGCTTAATTTCATAAACCAAGTCTCTTAGTTTTTCTGGTTTGTTGAAGAGATTTTGTACATTTGCGAAGATAACCTACAATGATTGTTTTGTTGGGGAGACCCGGCCTTCATTGTGACAGGTTCTGATCACAGAAAAGGCCCCTTTGTCTGGACTATGTGTCCATTTTGATCCTCAGCCCTTTCTCTCCTTTGCCAATTCTCTCCTTCAATTCTGATCTCAGTTGTCTCATTTTCAGCCTTTTCCTCGGTTCGTAGTCTAGTTGAAAAAAGCATTTTCTGGTGTGAGTTGCGTAAGACCGTTCTACCTTCTAACAGAAGCCTTGCCCGGGGCCCTGTGGATGTTTTTAGGTCACGATCTGGGTACAATTTGCGTAGTCAGGAAGCTTTTTTACGGTGAATAGTTCCCCTTCCTTCAAGACGCACTGACGCATTTATTAAGAAGGTCCTTCAGAGTGCAGGACGTGGACTCTGGAGCGCCTCTAATTACGATATTTTGATTACGATTTGTGGAAGAGCTCGTTACTGTCCCGTTGCGGCAGAAAAACGTAGCGCCACTGTGGTGCTCTCCACGGATGATGACACAGCGACGTTAGGATTATTTTCGTCCGGCGAAGGAAGTATAGGGTGTGGATTTTCATGTGACATACACGTTTCGGCAATGGCGCTTTTAAATTCATGACCCTGGTGCAACGTACTGCACGAAGACTTATCGTGTCCCATTGCATAAACGGAATGGTTTGGGCACTTTCAAGGTGAGTTACTCCTGTGATGAAGTGGAGAAGCGTAACCTTCCAAGAATAACGGCGATTCCATGTTTTTTCTAACAGACCTATTGAGGGTCACCCTGGCTTTCCCAACCTTAGTGTCCGATGATTTGGCAAGTTTAGTTACCGTAGCGGGAAATGAAACCTAACTTATTTTTAATGTATTGGCTTCAACCTCCTCGTTATCCACTGGAACTGATTTGTCTGGAGTTTCCCCTGGAGACGTAACTCGCTTCCTCTTCGTGACTGGCTGCGAGTTTTCCGCGTCGGTGCCTTCATTAGTAGGATATTCATCGCTTGTCGGGGAGGGGGGAAGTGTGGCAGATTATTCAGTAATTCTATTTTATTGTGCTTCAGAATAGCCACAATGGTGTCCATCAGTAGGTGCTTTTCTTAAAGCGTCTGTACTCGCTTTTTAAGTTTCTCACAACCGACACAGCGAGCGCCGAGCGCAGAATCCGTCCCGTCTGCCATACAGATTTCCGTGCCTGTTTGCAGTGCATTGGTTTTTATTTCCTGTCATGTCTCCAGAAGCCTATTGTGTCTAAGCCCCTTGGAGTCTAATGATTCCAGCGGCATCCTTTCTCCAGAGACTGCTAGTGAATTAAAGACAATTCTCAGCTGCTCTTCTGCAGTTTAGTAATAAATCTGACCGGCTGTAGACCGCTTATCCGAGACGCAGTGGTTACCAATCTGACCTCTTGGTCCGCAGGTTCCGAGTTCAAATCTCGGTTGTGCAACCCTTGTGCACGCGTTTTATTGTAGCGGATTGGATCATTGTTGATGGTTTTCGAACTTGTCAATCAGTTCTAGAATAGTGCAGAATGTCTTTAACAACTGTTATAATAAATACATTGCCAATTATGAAGTCAAATAGAAATCGACTCAGCTGTCCATAGTTTTCGATGCAGATTTAGGAGAAAAGCCGTCAAGTATGAGGCCTTATACAGATGGGTGCATGATTGCAAATGGCTGTTGATGTAGAATTCGTGGCATATTTCACCGCGCGAATGAGAGGAGTGATTGCTGTTTCTGTTCGTTGGAGGATTCGAGTGGAATCTTCCGCCTGACATCGTGGGAAATAACTCCGAGATCCGATAATACGAAGAATAGTAGAACTTTCAAGTTGGTGTACTCGAAATCCTTGACTAAGTGAAGCAGAGACTCATCAACTGCATTTAAAAGTTTTTGAGGTCTGTAAACCGTTAGAAATTCTAGGTTTTGCGCTTTCCCCTTCTTTATCTTTATCCAAACAGATTCTGTTATGACAGTGATGTCGGGGTTTCGTCCTGAAACTGGCACATTTCAGACTGACCAGTAATGAGTTTGACTGACATACATCGTTGCTTAAAATGTAAGAACACTAAGGTGATCGAATTGGTTTTAGTCCTGCGTCTTCAGCTCCCACTGACACGCGACTGCAATTGACACCTCCATGGCTATTGCTCTCCTGCTTGTTTAAAACTTCGAAAGTTGAGGAACTGTGACCTTAAGCTAACCGCGCTGTCGAAACGTCTCGGTAGCACGTGTTTTGTGCAATGGAGGAGTTTGATGTAGCAAAATTTGGCATTTCGCCGGAAACAACTAAGAGACTACAGAGCATCGGAGTTGAAAGCTTTTTTGAAGTTCAGGCAAAGACATATAAGCATATCATAAACAAGGAGGACGTCATCACTCTCG